TATATATATATATATATTATTCTTTTACTAATAAAATATATTTTATTGCTTCAAAAAGGGGGAAGAAATGAAACAAATGAAGAATAAACGCTCACATACCTTGAAACTGAAATCCTCAAAGTTTTGTTGAGGAGGATAATATGGAATCTGAGGAGAAAAATAGTAATATAAATCAGCCCCCAGGAAAATCAAGTCATGTCACAATTATTCCACTAAATTCAGTTGCAATAAACTAAAATGAATTATATAGCATCGACTACCATCATCAGCTAGATTACCTGCAGCACAAACTCTCCTTCATCGAGATCGTGTGCAACCAGAACACCAATAGCTTTAGAATTGAAAATGAAAAAGAGCATTCCAGGTTTCTTATGCAAGAGGTATTGCCCAAGATATTTGCTCAAGAAATGGACACTGACAAGATTTTGCAAGTCCCGTTCACCTTGCATTTTAATACCAACTAGTTTTCTTATGGTACTCCTTGAACCATCTGAGCCAATGAGAAAACTGCAACGGAAATTCATCCGTTCCACTTTTCCCTTTTTGAGCAAAGAAACACCTACATTGACACCATCTACAGTAGGTTTGACGGACGTGCATTCAACACCCATGAGAATCCGCTTCTCTTGAAACAGACAGTGACTTAAATTCTGAAGTTCATCAAGCGAACATAACTTAAAGCCCAAATTTTCTAACTTCTTCAGTAGCAGTCTAATCAATTTGTACTGCGAGTAGTGAGCAATAGAAACAGGACTAACTTTATTTTCAAAGGCTGAAGAGCATATTCAGAAAGTAAGAAACAACAAAAAAAAGAGGGAATACCAAAATAGTTAGATGCAGTATGTGCAAAATGAACCTAGCATGAACTGCCGTTGCTAAAAAATCTCAAGTTGGCAAGCTTACCTTGAGATTGCATGTGGTCAACTGACCCAATAATGGTACCAGAAACAGAGGTGCAATATAAGAACCTCCTCCATGAATCTACCGGAGGCTGCAATTTCTGGATGTCCTCTGCAAGACCATCCATTTTGTGAAATATCTGTTAAAAAGGCTTCATCAGAACATCAGAAAGAGCAAAATACAAAGAAATCAATTATATTATCTTCTTGTCCTTCTATAAAGTTTGAGCTTCAGTTAATAAGTAAGAATTAGGGTGCGTATGGCGCAGCTTTTTTGCTGAGTTGCAGCACAAAAATACAATTTCTCTTGTTTGGTTGATGCGGTGCAGACGCATTTACCTAAATGAGCCCAATAAGCCGTGACGCTGCCTCGACCCGGCAGTCGCTGTGTTTAAACTTACGCCATTACCCCCGTGCCCCCACTTATCTATGGAGTCCCCTTTCAAGCATCACCTTCAATCCCATCAATTTATCCAGAACTCTGTTGTGGTCACTGGTCTGATAATTTCCAGCTACGAGAGGAATCTTCAACGCCTGACGATTTTTTAATTTTCTTTTTTGACTTCTTCTCTCGGATGGATGCTTTCTCGCTTAACTGGAGAGGGTCAGCGATCCTCTGGCTCGCTGGCTCGCTGGCTCCCTCCATCATGCCTTCATCTTCTGCTTCAGGTTTGTTCTCTTCATTTTTGTCAACTAATTGATTCCAAATAATTAGGCAATTAAACCATCAGTTTCCCTTCTGAGTCCACCAGTTTTTAATATTTCTCTCTAATTGCTTCAGGTTTGTTCTCTTCATTTTTGTCAACTAATTGATTCCAAATAATTAGGCAATTAAGCCATAAATTTCCCTCCTGAGTCCATCAGTTTTTAATATCTCTCTAATTGATTCAATTTGAAGTCCATCGCAATCCGAACCGGGCAGTGCTTCATGTTGAATGGTCTTATATTCCTAGGAAGGTAAATTTTTAGTTCTCCTGAAATTTGATATAAAAAATATTTCAATTGCTGCTAGCCAGGAAAGTAAATATGTAGTCACAAAAGAACTAATGATGGTCCTCGCTTGTTCTGTTGTATATAGAGTTAAAATTGATATTTTTGAATTTTATCATGCTTTGTGTACTTAAGGGAGATGTATTTTCTATTGGTTAAAAAAAAAATATTTGATCAAAGTCAATGCAATGGAAGGAAAAAAAAAGTCGAGGCTTAAGACCAAAATGACTAAATTAAGAATTGGAGATAAACTTTGGTAATTTTAGCAGAATGTAAGATGATAATAATTATTTTTAATGTTTTCCTTTGCATCATTGATTATGGTATCGTGGATCTATTTGCATAACAAATGTTGGATTCAAATGAATGTATGAATAGTCAGACTACATAATTTTTATCCTTTTCTGATGATTCCACCTCCAATAGTGACCATACGTGATAATTTCGTTGGAGAAGAGATTGTCTCGGGAAATTGGTCATCTGCATTTCAAATTCAACATTATGATAATATTAATTATTTTTTAATAGTTTTATTTTTAATTTTGATATTTTGTTATTCATTGTTTAGTGAGGTGTCAATTTTTATTATGTAGGGTCTGTTTGGGGTAACTGTTGCGCAATAGCAATCACAAGAAGCTACTGCCCAGAAGTTGTTGCAGATAAACTGACTATCTGTTTGTTTTTTGCAGTTTGAAAAATCGTTATGTTGCAGCTGTTTCAGGGCAAATGACCATTCTGCCCCTGTATACTAATATGTTTGCAACAAAACTATTCATATCAGTACATTCTATAATTTGAAAGCAAATATCCGATGCAGAACATTATAAAATAAAGTTAGACATCACTAGCAGCAAAATGTATGACTACTAAAATTAAAAAAAATATTAAAATAACAATTAATAAAATGATAATATTAATCGATGCAGAACATTATAAAATAAAGTTAGACACATCACTAACAGCAAAATGTATGACTACTAAAATTAAAAAAAACTATTAAAATAACAATTAATAAAATGATAATATTAATTTTAAAATTCAAACGGCACATGTCACGACCTAAGTCATCATCCATAGATACTCTTCATGCCCGATCACTCTCAGCGATGGATTCTTCCAGCTATCTGCCCACCAAAAATAGTCACACTTTTCCATGATTCTCCTTAGGCACTTGTAAAACTATCTTCCTTAGTTATGTAGCTGACGTGAAGTTAGTAGAGAACTTTAAAGTTCACAGTAGCAGCGCAGTCCTCTGAAGTTACGAGAAATCCTCAAACTCATCTTTTTTGAACGCTTAACAAAACTTACCTTTAGACATGACACAAGTAAAAATTGATCATATAATTAATTAATTATAGTTTTATACAGCTGCAATGTCTCTGAAAACTCATTATACAAACCAAAAAATCTATCACTACAAGAAGACAGCAGACCTTATAAAAAAAGAGTTTTTAGTTGTCTTTAATCTACATAATACCAAGCACGTGTGTCACATATGCATATCACCAAAAAATGTCATCCAGAAGAACCTTAAAAATCATAGCACAGAAAAAAAAAGAACTTAGTTGTCTTCTTTAGAATATCACATGTGACATCAACCAATGGCGACATATAGGCCATCCAGAAGAATTCATATAGACAAACATCTCATCATTGACCTCCAAAACCCACCAAAAGAAAAAAAAAAAGAATGTAAAAGGAAAAAAAACACATACAAATTGCATAAAAAATCAAAACAATAAAATATCAAACATAAGGAACAGAAATAAATATGAACTGTATAAAATACTGATACAATAAAAAGTGAATGTCTTCAATAACCATTATAACTAATAATATGATAAAAATTAACATTCCCTCCAATCACCCTACAACTATCGCATTTGTAATTCATTCTCCCAACTCCGTCATCTTAGTCGCACCTTCCCTGTCTTTAGTGCAGGTTTTGAGAATATCATTTTCAACATTTGATAAAGGTTGTCCAAGACAGTACTCATATGTCTCAACAGGGAAATATTCATCATCCTTGTACGCCCTACGGAAGTCGATGTGTTGCAGAAAGGATGTCAGCAAATATAATTATGGAGAGGCATCGTGGCAATTACAATCTGCACATGTTTGGGAAACTGGTAAAATTGCATATTGCAAAGTATAACACATTTTTGCTTTCAAACATCAAGTCCTCTCAATAACACGGTGCAAAGATGAATGTATTTTGTTAAACGTTTCTTTTCTGCCCCGCGCGACATTGCTGGTTCGTTCAAAATCAAGTATGTGATATCTCGTATCAAGATAGAGCTTCAGAAACCTTCACTGCAACAAATACGCAGCATCGACCAAATAGTATTTATCTGATGTAAATTGAATGAATAATGTTGAAGGTAAAAAGAATTAGAAGGGTATCTTAGTCTCAGGCGAACCTGTGAGGTGGATGTGGAAAATTGTATTTGTTATTCTGAGTTGCATTTATGAATATTCGACTGCATGTGACATTGTCCTCTCAATCGGTCATGACAAAAGTGAAGCACAAGTTGAAGTCACATACCGTCATGACATTCTGAGTTTGAGCCCCACAACGATAGATGAATGTGATCTCATTATTTGGAACACATGCATCAATGTGTGTTTCATCGATTGCTCCAATACAATTCTAAAAAGATAATGAAGTGCTACAAAATTACAATATTTAAATAAAAATTGAATGCAATAAATAGGAGAAATTACCTTAAAGTATTGGGTAAAATCTCTGTAAGACTTCGTTCGAATGTAGGATTTGTTAGTTTTACGAATTCTGAATAAAAAGTAACAAGTGCATTCAACATTATTGAGAAGTATTTGAAAATTGTTTCAGAATAGTGCTAAAATCGCTCTATAGCTCCTCACACTGATTCATTATGCAATAATATATAGAGGGTTATTGCAAAGGCCTCTCGTGAAGTTGTTCTATATGAGTCATGAAGTCTATGATTTTTGTGTAGTTCCTCAAACAGATCAGTGAATATCGTTTGTGTCATGCGGAACATATTGTTAAATCTCGTTGGGTGACTCGCAAGCAACTCCCCAACTCATTTGCCGCCAACATTTGAAGATGTCAAGCAAGGGGAGCACTCTATGTACGAGTTATAATAATCGTACAAGCAACATATTGCAATTGCAACTCTCATGTGCCTTTCTCTAGTTACATCCATGTATTTCAGTATCGAAGTGGCTAATGCATAAGCATCAATGAATTAGCTACAATCATATAAGCTTACGAATAAAACCAACAGAAGAAAATAACATTACAGAAGTAGAAAACATAAAAAGAAATGAAAAAGTTTCAAGTAAAGTGGCATGTTGAAATCAGCATAAATACCCAAAACAACATAAAAAATCATAAACAAATAGAAATGTCCAAAATAAATAAATAAATAACAAATATGAAACGTCCAACAAGACGATACTCATATGCCTCGGCAAGGACATATTTATGATCCTTGTCCGCCCTACAGAAGTCGATGTGTTGCGGGAAGGATGTTGCTGAATATAATTATGAATAGTCATCGTGGCAATCACAATCTGCACGTGTTTGAAAAACGGGTAAGATGGCATGTTGCGAAGTATAATGCATTTTTCTTTCAAATACCAAAAGTCTTCTCAATAACATGGCACAAGGATGAATGTATTCTGTTGAACATTTCTTCCCTGCCCCACACGACATTACTAGTTCGCTCAAAATCAAGTATATGATCTCGTATCAAGATAAGGCTTGAGAAACCTTCACTGCAATGGATACCCAACATCGACCAAATAATATTTATCTAATGTAAATTGAATGAATAGTGTTGAAGGTAAAAAAAATTATGAGAGTATCTTATTCTCAGGCGAACCTATGGGGTAGATGTGAAAAGTTGTATTTGTTATTTCATGTTGCATACATGAATATTCAACTGTCGTGTGACATTGTCCTTCCAATCGGCCATGACAAGTGAAGCACATGTTGAAGTCACATACCGCCGTCATATTCAAAATCGGAGACCCACAACGATCAATGAATGTGATCTTCTCATTATTTGAAACACGTGCATCAATATGTGTTTCATCGATTGCTCAGATACAATTCTAAAAAGATAACAAAATATTGTGTAATTACAATATTTAAATAAAAATTGAATGCAATAAATAAAAGAAATTAACTTAAAGTATCGTGATCTCTATGAGGGTTCGTTCGAATGTAGGATTTGTTAATTTTACGATTTATGAAAAAAAAGTGACAAGTACATTCAAAGTTACTAAGAAGTAACTGCAAATTATTTCAGAAGAGTGTTGAAATCGCTTCATAGCTCCTTACACAGATTCATTCTGCAATAATATATAATGGGTTATTGCTAACGCCTCTCGTGAAGTCGTTCTAGATGAGTCACAAAGTTTGTGATTTCTGTGTAGTTCCTCAAACTGATCAGTGAATATCGTCTGTTTCATGCGGAATATATTGTTAAATCTCGTTGGGTGACCCGCAAGCAACTCCCTAACTCATTTGCTGCCAACAAATAAGGATGTCAAGCAAGGGAAGCACTCCATGTACAACAACAACAACAACAAAGACTTAATCCCACTACGTAGGGTCGGCTACATGAATCTTTTTTCTCCATTACATCCTATAATCAGATCATCAGATGGTCAACGCTTGATGTGACCAAACCATCTAAGACGACTTTTTCTAATTTCGTCTGTCACAGGAGCTACACCAACCCTATCACGGATATATTCATTTTGCATTTTGTCTCTAAGTGTAAAGCCTCTCATCCACCTAATCATTTTCATCTCGACAACACTTAACTTAGTATTATGCTTCTCTTTTAAAGGGGAGCACTCTATATACGAGTTATAATAATCGTACAAAAAGCATACTGCAGCTGCAACTCTCCTGTGTCTTTCTCTAGTTAAATCCATGTATTTCGGTATCAAAATGGCTAACACATAAGCATCAATGAATTAGCTATAATTATTTAAGCTTACAAAAAAAACCAACAGAAGAAAATGACATTACAGAAGTAAGTAGAAAACATAATGAGAAATGAAAAACTCTCAAGCGGCATGTCAAAAGCAGCATATATATCCAAAACAACATGAAAAACTATAAACAAATATAAATGTCCAAAGTAAATAAACAAATAACAAATATGAAATATCCCACAAGAATCTAAGAAAAAAAAGTATCCCTCAAATGTCACTGCTCCCATTAAAATAACATATGTAAGCCACCCTACTATCAGCGGGCATTATTATGAAAAATTCTCTAGGTCGAATCTTCAAGCAACTTCATAAAGAACAAATACAGCGGCATGCCCTCGTAAATTTCTAGAGTTGCATTCAGAATTCGCATAACATGTTAGACAGAAGTTGCTGATGATGGGTCGGGATCATTGGTGCATGAAGTCACCAACCGTGAGATCTATCTCCTAAGGAAAGCAGCTCCCTTTTTTTTCCTTAACCCAGGGAGGCTTTGACCTGCTTGTGAACTCAACTTCATGGAGGTCCGGGTTGGGGGCCTTCATTGAAATCACTTGTTTAATCAGTTGCCAAATTTTCAAGGATGCCATCAAGCCCCGCCCACTGAGGGCATATGTAATTTTGCTCTTTGCCCCAACACCTCCAAACATAGGATCCAACTTTTCCTCCAACTCAAAATCGATTCAACTGTTTTTTTTTTTTTTTTTGCAGCAGGTACCACCTACGAGTTCATAAAACATGTTGGATTTGAAATAAATTAAAAATTGACAAAAATAGGGACATTTAAAAAATGTTCATTGTCAGTCTCTCTGCCCACCACTCCTCGGAAGCATGAATCGTTCATTTTACTGACTCCCACCCCAAGCCCATTGATCCTCGCTTCAATTTCTTTCAAATTTTTTAATCTTTTTTAGCCAACCCCCCTTATTTTTAACTGCATCTTGCCATACTCTCTGTTTATATTTTCCTTAAATTTTTTAATAATATGTTGTCAACCTTTCTTATTGAAAAGGTTGTCGGCATATTTCTCCGTTTGACCTCCATGAGGGAAAAGTCGTAAAATATCAATTTTCTCTATTTATTCCGCATTACAAATGAACTAGCCTCTTTTTTCTTAATCATTATATTATTAGCAAAAAAAAACTAACATAAATAGAAATGTCATAATATTGAAACCTAAAAAATAACAGGAATGTCACAATATCATCACCAATGCCTCTCCACACCACACTACAATATCACATATACATCACCACTGCCACCACCTCACACACCAACACATACACAACAACACCACCACCACCACCTCCACACATCAACAACTTCACACAAACAGAACTGCATAGCAACTACCACCTCCACAACACCATCGCCTTTACACATCCACCAGCACATCTTCTAACACAAACATAACGACACACACCGACCACCACCTCCACACATCCACCAACACATCATTTAACACAAACACAACCACACACCAACCACATCCACTAACACATCCTCTAACACATCTTCTAACACAAACACTAGAAACACAATCACACGCCAACCACCACCTCCATACACATACCAACATACACCAACACCAAACCAATGGTAAAGATAAAACCCCACCATATATTTTTCATTTGATGCAGTTACATACAGGGCACCCGAAGCATTGTCATCAATAAATCAAGCACCCTCTTTCAGTCATTTCTCAAATTCTCATTCAAACATTTCAAACATCAAAGGTAACATTCAAACATCAAAGGTAAAGATAAAACTCCAACCCATAGTTTTCATTTGAGGCTACCACATACAGGTCACCTGAAACATTGCTATCAACAAATCAAGCACCCTCTTTCAGTTATTTCTTAAATTCTCACTCAAACATCAAAGTTAAAAATAAAACCCCACCTCATATTTTTCATTCGATGCTACTACATAAAGGGCACCCGAAACATTGCTATCAACAAATCAAGCATCCTCTTTCAGTCACTTCCCAAATTCTCACTCAAACATCTTTAGATAAAACCTCACCTCATATTTTTCATTTGATGCAGTTACATACAGAGCACTTGAAGCATTGCTATCAACAAATCAAGCACGCTCTTTCAGTCATTTCTCAATTTCTCACTCAAACTTCAAAGGTAAAGATAAAACCCCACCCCATATTTTTCATTTGAGGCTATTAAATACAAGGCACCTGAAACATTGCTATCAACAAATCAAGCGCCCTTTTCAGTCATTTCTCAAATTCTCACTCAAACAACAAAGGTATAGATAAAAGCCCGTTCCATATCACATTAAGCCACAAATTTGCAAAATTCAAATTCCAAATCACAAAGTGAGAGCCACAAATCACAAGATCCAAATTCTCACTTCAAACTGCAAATGAGAAAGACAGAAATAGTAAAATCCAAATTCACACTTTAAACCACAAATTGCAAAAAGAAAGTCATTTTATCAAAAAAAAAAAATAGGTGATACCGTGGGAGGACGTGGGAGGACGGAGAGCACATTAAACAGAGAAAGAGCCGGAGATCGGATGAAAGATGGAGAGTAGAGAGGCAACCCGTTGCCACCAGAGATCCGAAGGCCAAGGGAAAGAAGAAAGGCAACTCATTGCCACCGGAGAAAGAAGAGAGAGATGAGCGATCGAGTGAGGAGTGACTAGGGCAGAAGAAACACAAGAGAGAGGCAGACGTGAGAGGGGAGCACGAGAAATTAGTGGAGTAATAGGTTCGTGAAGAAACGCGGGTCGCGAGGTTGTACCTGCGGCCCGCGTTTAACATAAATTTTTATGAACGTTGTTGTGCCGCTATTTCCTAACGCTACATCCGGCTTTTTTCAGAATGCATCGCGCCAAATAAGCTGCCCCAAACAGGCTCGTAATATTCAAGCTGGATTTCTATTTTCATGTATGAAATGTGCAATCAGGACCGATTATGTCATAAACAGCACAATAATAAAGGGGCGGAAAGGTTTTTTTATCATAAACAGCCGCAACGCAACTGCTGCACAACTCCACAAAACAAAAGAACACACAACTTTCCTGCAATAGCTTCCTAACACAATTGTTGCACAACATCTTTTTAATAAGTTAGAGCTGCCCTAAACAAACCCTTAGATCATCTTGATCAATAGCTACGTAAGTAATGATATACATAATTTTAAAAGAAATGTTATGTAGCCATTCATGCACCATGACAAAAAAGAACCAGCAAACAAATTCAAAAAGCAATCTTCTATTATATTTGGCAATGCTTCTCAGGAATTAATGAAGAAAAAAATAACCTCCATAGATCGGTTGTTAATGAAGTGTGCTTGTGGATGTTCGGAAAAAGCAGCACTTTTTTCCAAGACTGCACACTTGACACCTATAATAATATGATGAAAAAAGATCAGCACCCATCAATGACAAGTAAAAATGATAAGAACTTAATAAAAGAGGTTTTCAAAAAGTAACTCACTGAATATTACTTGGCAGGTATCAGGCAAAAAGATTTCATACATTAGGCAAAGATAATCACTAGCTACAAATACATACGTGGAAAATGCAGCATGTCATAAGAATCAACAAATCCTTTAAAGTGTAACTGTAAAATTGCTCAAACAATACATTCTTCTTTTCATTCATATGGCTGCATGCATCTTCATGAAGAAGGAATCAAACATGCACGCTTCAAAAAAATTAAAAGAAGGAACCAAAAGATACAAGGTAACCATAGGAATATCCAAACTATAAGCGTCAGCTTTGTTGATACCAATTTAGACAAGCAAAGTTCATGATGAATTAAGCAGCAGAATCAGGAATCGTGTTGGAGCTTGATACTTCGATTTTTTTTTAACTATAAGAATTCAAAGTAAGAAAAACCAAAAAGATAAAAAGAAGGAAAATGTTGAAAAAGATGAATAAATGTCTCATGGGGAGAAAGATAAGGTGAAGAGAATAGAAGAAAGAGCACGACTAGAAGAAAAAGTGAGGGATTGATCATCAGAGAGAAAGGCAAAGAAAGGACGTTGTGGGCTCTATAAAGAGAACAGCCCTAAGAGTTTACTTTAGTGAAATTTTACACCACATCAACTCCACTCCTTACATGTAGAAAATTGAGACAAAGTGAAACTCGCATTTTCTAAGCATTTGCTTTCTCTTTCATCATTATTCAAGAGAGTTATTAATATTTTTAAGAAAAAATGAATGCATCAATATGAGTACAAATTGATCTAAAAAAGCTCAAAACTATTTCCGATAATTTTTCTTTTAAATTATTTGATATATTTTCATCTTTTTTTATACTTTCCTCGATTCCTTTCTCTTTTTCTTCTTTTTCTACATTTTGTTTCATTTTTAATTCAAAAAATGTCATTAAATTTTAGAAAGATTTTTCATCTTATCAAGTCACTCAAGCACATGCAATCACAACACTATAAGGTGTTCTTTAAACAAAAGAATTTGCTTGCATGCTTTAGATGTAGTTGCACACTTTTCAAAGTAATACATTTGAATCATATTTTTCTCAAAAAGCGCAAAACGCTTTTGACGTGGGCATCGTTGGGCACATAATCGTGCCAAGCGCAATATGGACCGATTCAGTCCCAACAAATTGACGGCCAGCCGGTTCTCTTGGTTGTATAGGAGTGTCGTCCTATCAGTGGGGCCACTCCTAGTTACCCTAGGTCTATATATGATGCTTTAGTCGTGTTTTGGGTCAGTTTTTGCATGTGTTTTCTTCGGGATAGCTGTCGGCGTCTCCGTTCTTCCCTTCTAGGGTTGTATCCAAAGGTCTGAGTGGTGCTACGGCTCTATCTCGCTTTCGAGTTGGTGATTATCCTCCCCCAGCCCTTCCACATTCTTCCACAATCGCTCTTCATCGCCTTCTCTGCTGCAGCCCGCCCAGAACAATTGTTCTCACTATTCTTCCTGAAGTTTTCCGCCTTTTAGCCGCCAGAATCGCCTTCCCCTCCCTACAACTTACTGTTGTCACTATTTCAACCAACCTGCATCGTTGTCTCTGCCCAGAAATCCCATCGCCTTGTCGTTTTACCACTACCTGACCATCGTAAATCGTTGCCGCCACCCAAAACCCCTTCGTATTGTTGTTTTATTGTTGTTCGGCCATCCTTCATCACAGTTGCCGCCCGACAGAAGAGTGAAGCTTGTCGTTGTCAAGCTGAAGAAGAGTGTCTCGTTGTGGTGGGAGAATCTGAAGAGAGAGATAGAGAGAAGGTCAAAACAGGATCACTACCTGAGAAAAGATGAAGAAAGAGAAGCAGAGAAAGTACCTAGGCCCACACTACCGCCTGGACATGACTTTAAAGCTCCACCACCTACAACAGAGGAAATTTTAGTAAATGAGTTCAAGGCAGAATTTGAGCACCTTAAGCTGAAGTGTGAGCTGACAGAGCTAGAGAAGCACATGTTAGCCAGATACTTGGGAGGCCTGAAATCTTATATCAAATATATGGTCCAACTTTGTTGGGTGGTGTTCAAACAGTGGCAATGAAGATGGAGAGACGGTAGAAGCAGAGCAGCCACCCACCTCCATCCAGATAGCTACCAATAAATGAAGGCATCAGTAAGAGCACGCTTAGGGGATTTGAGAAAACTGGTCATGAGAATAACAACTTTGAGTGAGAACCCTGAGAAGAGTAGAACGTCTAGCACAATTCCAGTCCAGAAATGCTTCAGGTGTCATGGATATAGACACATCGCCTCCAATTGCCCTACGAAGAGAATTGTTTTCTTCACCGAGCAAAGTGCAATAGAAGAAGTGAGCAAAGAGAAGGTAGCTGAAGAGAAAGGTGAGGAGTACCAGCTTTCAACGGATGAGGGCAAAATGCTTGTGATTCGACGGGTCCAACATACGAAGGCTACGAGAGAGCAACGGTGCTTCACCTCAACATCTTTCACACCTGTTCCATTCGAAAAGGAAAAGGTATGCAGTATTATCATTGATGGAGGTAGAAGTAAGAATGTGTTACACACATGGTAGACAAGTTGTGTCTCAATTCTCAGAGACATTCCCAACTACATTCCCTAACTTAGTTGAAGAAGGACCAGGCGAACATTAACGAGACAAGCCTCGTGGAGTTTTCCATTACAAACTAGCTATAGAATTAGGTGTGGTGTGACATCTTTGCCCATGAATGTCTGTGACATTTTGTTGGAGAGACCATGGCAGTTTGATCACAGCTCGAAATTATGGGTTAAAAAAACTACTAATTCACAAAGGATGGTAAGAGCATAGTTCTTCTATCTTCTGCAAAGTTTGAGGTTATAGGCGTTTGTGTCAGCAGAGAAGCGCCAGTAGGATCAATGTTGGTTATGATAAAGGATAATAAGACGTAAGAGCCGATATCAGACACAGAGTAGCTGCCACAGAGAGAGTTTCAAGATAACCTAACCGACAACTTACCACCACGGCCACCACTATTAGAGGATCGGTTTGTCTTCACCTCTGAGATAGATGAACCAACATTGGGCTACTCTAAGAGGATTCTGCAGAGCACACTTGGCATGAAATTCGAGTTCAATTCAACGCGACACCCACAGATAGCTGGACAAAGGCGATGGTTACACTATTCAAAAACCTTTCTCAAGTTCTTAGGGGAACAACGCATCTAACAGCAGGATTAAGGACCCTCCAACCCCGGGAGATTAAGACATTTCCACTACCTTCAATATGGTCGATTAGACTCCACGAAATAAAGAGACAGAAGCTTTGACGGATGAAGATGGAGCTCCCCCGAACCCCGAAAGACTGACATGGGCGTCGATGGGCGTAGAATTGCGCCAGAAGTGATATGGATAGGTTCATTCAAGGCATGTCGAGAGTCCTCTAGGCTGCATCGGAGTGTCGCCCAATAGGTGCGGCCACTCCTACTTACCTTAGGCCTATATTTGTTGCTTTTGTAGTGTTTTAGGGTCAATTTTTGCATGTTTTTTTCAGGACAGTTGTCAGCATCTCTATTTTTCCCTTCTATGATTGTATCCAATGGTTTGAATGATGCTTTGGTTGCATCTTGCTCTCGAGGTAGTGATTATCCTTCCTCAACCATTCTGCATCCTTCCCACATTGCTCCTCGTCGCCTTCTCAGTTGCAAACCACCCAGAACAACTGTTGTTACTGTCCTTTTTGCACTTTTCCGCTCTTCAACCGCCAACTTCGCCTTTCCCTCTTCCACCTTGCTAGTGCCGCCCAAAAACGCCTTTGACTTTTCGTTTTACCATTTTTTGGTCATCCTGCATTGATAGTGTCGCCCAAAAACCCCTTCACCAAGTTGTTTTACCGTTGTTTGGCAATCCTACATCGTTATCGCCTCCTATAAACCCGTTTGCCTTGTTGTTTTACCACAGTCTGCCCATTCTGCATTGTTGCTGCCGCTTAGAAACCCTTTCGCCTAGTTGTTTTAAAGTTGTCTGGCAATCCTACATCATTTTTGTCTCCTATAAACCCTTTTCCTTGTTGTTTTACCGCTGCCCGGCCACTATCGGTCGACCCACCACCCGAGATCCACCCTAGCAGTGTGTTATGTCATGTTTGTTGTTATTTCCTATTTTCACTTGTGTGGTTATAATTTCCTATTTAAATTCAGCAATAAATTTTTTTCCTGTTGTTAATTGGTTGAACTCCAGTATCAACTCCTCAAGCCACAATTTTTATTTTCATGTCATTAGCACTGAAATGTTCATTGACAAACGTGCAGTATTTATTGCAGCATTATGTGTTCCGTAGGTTGGTGCACATCTTGGAGAGTGCAAGTTTTTCATAGCGTATGGGTTTCAGTGTGCCCTACATTGAACTGGAATTTGACCAATGATGTGTCCACCATTTAAATTATGCAGGTTACATTCTGGCGCCTCTGAACTACTATATAGTTTGTCATTCATACATATTTAGCTGTGTTTTGTCATACATATTTAGTGGTGATTTGTCCAATTGTAGGCCTATTGAAGCAAATTTGTATGCATTTTGATGCAAATTGATGTGATCGTTTGTGTTCATTTTCAAGTTCATTGTATACAGCAGTATTAAGTTTTTTTATAAGCGCTTGAAAAGATAACAATTTGTCAGTATTTTGGTCATATTAAATGCCTGGGCAGAGATCCCATGAGGAAAAATTCATGTTTATAAATAAAGGTGTCAAATATGCTACTTTTGTGTTCCATTTCAATTACAAAGAGTTTTAAAAGATAGTGGCGAGCTAATAAAGACCATGTGAGTCTAGTTTAGTTCATTTTTTTTAAACTTAAAAATGTTCATTATCTTTTAGAATTTTTGTCCCTCCTTTCAGTGTCATTATTTTCTCTCAATATTTTAGCAGCTCTTCCTCCTCGTCCCCGCATAGGATAACAAGAAATAATGTGTGAAATACCAACTACACTAAGAAAGGCATGTTTAAGTGATACAAAGAACAAAATGGTCAAATACCGTCTTAAGGAAAATTGTTTTGTGTGGGGCTGGAATAGCACCAAGATGAGTCGATTTTATGGCCACCTGTTGACCTCTAAAGCTATTCCGCAACCAATTAATTCAAACCTAACAATAGCAATGAAGGATTGAAATAGAATCCTACAAGTTGAGTTTAAAATGCCTCAACCATAATATAAAATCTTTAATTAATGTCCATTTCACAAAACAAACAATTGAAACACGCTCGAAAAGTCTAAATTAGCAAAGATGCTTACATTGCGCAATTCATCGAATGAGAAACAGTTGAGATATTCATCAGAGTGTCAGGCAAATGACAAAAAATTATAAGATCCAAAATACACACATGCCAAAAAATATAAAAAACAATTTTATTGTTATTAAAGCATAATTTAATTAAATTATTTTCATTTAATTAAATGTAATGCATATAATATGGACAAATCCATTTAAAATTGGTCTAAATTGAAAAATCAAACCAAACAGAATATATTTAATAGTTTAGTTTAGTATATTAATGAGTGGTTTGGTTTATTAGAATTGTGATTTCTAGTTTGGTTTTAGAAAAAAAATTTCATTAAATTGAAAACAGAAAAGCTATAACAAATATCTAATTTCAAATAACTGAAATGTGATTATCATAATATACATACATATATATATATATATATCTCATTTTCGTCTTATATAATAATTTGATTTTAGTATTTGCATTCTTAAAACTAAAAGTTCACATCTCTTTTAAAATTCTATTAAACCAAACAATGATCATTTTAGTTCTATTCTACCTATAATTTGGTCGGCTTCATTCTACCTATAATTTTGTTTGTTTGATTTGGTTCACTAATTCAGTCGAACTAATCGAATGCACACACCTAAGTGAGAAATTCAAGATGATTAAGGAAAATGATTACTTCTGTTGAACAAAAGCATCTTCAAAACTATGCTTGTAGCATAAAAAAGTGGCCATAAGACCAAGTAATGTCAAGTCTAAAATCACTTACCTAGCAAATCAAAGGGGATATATAATCAAGCTAACGATTCAACAAGAGCCTAGGTAGCCAAGCGTGCCATGATTTGCAAGGAGTTTATAGCCAATGTTGTCACCAAACTTACTTTAAATTGATATTTTTGCTGTAGTAATATGAGAAAAAGAACTCATAAAATATTGTATGAAAGAAAGGCTTATATAAATGATATCCAATATAAAATGTTGTGCTTGATTTTCATAGAAGATGTTTGGCTCTTTTTGAGAGATTATTTCATTTTCACCTGAGATCATTTAGTATACTAAAGTCATTAAATTCTTCTCCAATCAAAGAGGTGATCACTGAGTTCAAGCAACTGTCTAATGGATCCCAAGCCAACCCAAAATCCTTCATTGAAATGACTGGCTCATAACTTAGCTTGGCTTCCATCGGTCCTAGTTCAGCATTTGACATATTCCACATCATAGCTTGGCTTTCTAGATATGAAATTTGATGGCAAATGTGCAGCTGATCTATAACGGTCAGTAATTGTATCCAGTGTGGCAAATTTGGAAACTCTATCTAGAGCCTTTTAAATTTGTAAGAAGATCCAAGTTTATCTTAATTTGCGTTTGAGGTACATATCAGAGAATTTTATATCTCTGACCGTATTTGCATATTATAACACGAACGAAGCATGAAATGGAAAGATAAGATATTGTTCAAACTGTATATTGAAATCATTAGCAGATTATCTCTTTCCATGTTTCCCCCGTTGTTCTAGGTATCGAAAATTAGTGACGAATAACGGCTTAGGTTTTCCATTAAACAGCTAGTAGGTGGTACAAATAACTTTAATACGAATCGCCCACATAGATGTACTTTGAAGCAAAAAGAAGCGTCTTATATAATGCCAGTAATGAGAGAGAGAGAGAGAGAGAGAGAGAGAGAGAGAGAGAGATCAAAGAATGATAAAAAGAGTAAACCTAATTTGGTAAGGAGAAATGAGAGAACAAGCCCAACAGGGCCGGCCCCCACGATCAGGACAGGAATGTAGGGCTCGACACCTTCGTCGAAGGGGCATACGGCGCTTGGCGATGACATCGATGAGAATAGTCGTGTTCTTGTCGAGAAGAAGGAGCGGCGGCAACCTGCCAACCTCCCGAGAAATCTCGCCCCAATGCCATCCATTGAACTGTGGGAGGACGAATGTTGGGAGAATTCGGTAGCGGTTGCTGGGGTTTATGGAAAGAAAAAAATTATTCCATGACACCGCATGTGTGTTTGGTGGCACGTTTTTAACTTTTTTGTTTTTTGTTTTTTTTTTTTAAGAAAAAAGAAATTTTTGATTGGCGGTGTAGATCGGGGAAAAGATTTGCGTAATTTGCGTACGTCAAAGGGTACGCATCTCTGCATACATAATAGTATACACGGGAGTTACATGAGAGTTACATGGGAGTTAGCGTGTACACGAGAGTTACATAGGAGTTACAAGCATGTATAATTGTTACAGCGGGGTTACACGGGATTTAAATAGGAGGTTACACGGAAGTTACACGGGAGGTACAACAGGTTATAACCCCCTTGTAACTCTCATGTAACTCTCATGTACACTATTATGTACGCAGAGATGCGTAACCCTTGACGTACGCAAATTTTTTCCGTAGATCGGACACCGCATGTGAAATAATTTTTCCAAAAGAAATTTCAGGTTTTAAGATACATAACACCCAAAACATCTCTATTAATAAATTGCACCCCTAAACTTGCATATACATATAAAGCACTTAAAAGTCATTGAACACATCAAATTTAACACTATTTATCTCCATTTCCTCTTTTCGTTTATTCCCATATTAAGGCTCTGTTTGGCGCAACTACAGCTTCTCAACTTTTCAGTTGCAATTGCACTGCCTTAGGAAGCTGTTGCGAGGAAGCTAGCTGCTTGTTTGTTGCAGGCGTGTGAAAACAGCTGTGGGGCAGCTGTTTAAGGAAAATTGATCATTCTGTCCCTATTCAGTAAATTTATTTGTAATAGAACTGTGACACCCACTTATTTAATAATTAAGAAGCAGAAATTAAAAATAAAGATGAATTTATTTTGAAGTTCACAAATATGTTCAAAATAATGATGAATTTATTGGAATTCATTATTAGCTTGAATTGTAGTTGGAAAATCAAATTCCTTCCTTCCCACATTTCTCAACAGTTTCAAGGTACAAAATGCAATGTATAAGGCAAAATAGAGATTGTAATATCAAAATACAGTGCTTCCAACATATTCTCAACAGTTATAAACTGAAGGAGACATATTCGATGTGATTTTACAACAAAGTCTGGAACCTGGTTTAAAATCGACCAAGCACACAGCGCTAACTCCAACAGTAAAGAAGATTATCTGAAATGCTTACTTGCAATTAGTAGAAATATTTTGCATTAATTGTAACCTACATGAATAAAGTACAATAAAAAAAGAGAAAGGAAACATTTCTTTGTTTACATTATTTAATGTGTGGTTTCGTTACATAGTTCTTTCCTTGAAACTTTGTAGAATTCATGTATTTTAAATAATAGAATATATAAACTGCAGTTATCCATCTCTCAATATCATAAAAGAAAAATATAAATACGATAAAATTTAAAAATCCTTATATA